ATAGATACAGAGGCGAGAGATCAGCCATTCATCTGGTTCAGCCTGAGGCAGAGGCAAAAGATCCTCAGTGCTGGATGGTAATGGGTAAATCACTTAACTACACCTAGCAAGTCACTTAGACTCCCTGGGCTCCCATGAAACAACTTATGAAATAGGAATTCTTGTAGGTTCACTTTCAAGGTTGTTATTCAGTGGTAACATTTCGCAAACAGCAAGTGCAGTTTGAAGAAAATGCACTTTGACTCTTCCTGTCTGCTCTGCCCTTCCTCTTTCTCTCTTGAATTCTTATCTCCATGGGGTATGATGCATTCAACCTATCAGGACATACATTCCACCTATGATGCTATACATGACCTTCCCTGAATAATATTAAAACAGTAAAGGGGTATTTCTGGGCCAAAATGAGCCCAAGTCATCCAGATTTTAAAACTTACAAACACACTCAGACATATATTCACCCAACGCGTACTTTAAAGAACTGTACTGAGAAAGGAACTAAGATCATTTTTAAATTAGACGTATTTAATGCCCCCCATCCCTGTCAATGTGATGGCAAATTGCTCAAGTCGCAATCAGCATGCTTATGCCATTCATTATTCTGCTTTTTATTAATTGACAGGCTAACTATCATAAAAAGAAAGAACTTGAGCCTTGGAGCTAGACAGAACTGGGTTCAAAAGCCAGCAGTCTCTTACTAGGATCATGACATCTGGCAAACATCCTGACCTCCATAAAACTTAATTTCCTTGTTTACAAAAGGTGATTCTAAAAACAGCATCTATTTCACAGAATTATTTACATGATTAGGTGAGATAATACCTGTGAAATTCTTAGGACAGCATCCGGTTCATCGTGAAGTCCTAATGAATGTTTCTATAATTATTATCTTACATATACATTACAATCCTTTTTATCTTTATGGTTTCATAGTATTCTAAAAATTAAACTTTTTTTTATTACTGCTAGGAGTCTGGGTTGTTTAAATTTATTTGGGGATATATGCCTCATTCCTATAAATATCTACCAATCAAATACTGTTTTCTGCTAAGTTTATTTTCTTGAGGGATACTCAAGTGGGAAGCACAGGATGAAACTGGAGGTTTTTATGAACCTTCTTGCAAGTTGCCCAATTCCTCTCCAGAGGAACTAAACCAATTTACTGATGGCTGTATGACATTATTAAACTTCTTTCCTCACAGAAACACTAAATTTGGGTTTTCATTACTTTTATTTACTTATTGTAGAAAATCAGCATAAAGTCTAACCCAAGATATTCAAATTTGACTTTCTGTAATTAATTCAACTGGGTGTATGTGGGGAATCTCTACACCATCTTCACAATTGTTCTGTGACTCTAAAACTGCTCCAAAATCATAAAGTCTATTAAGACACAGAAAAGAAAAAGTGTTTATAAAGAATTTAGAAAGTACTCTTATAAGAGTGGTTAAAGGGATTATATATCTGTTTATCCATAGGTGAAAAAGTAATCTAATTCCACCCAAACGTTGACAATGGTTCCCAATAGATGGTGGGATTACAGGTGATTAAAGACAGGGATGGGGTGATCTTTTGGTTTATGTTATATTTTCTCACTCAGAAAGACAAAGGTGTACTTTTAAAAAATAAAAACCATGTATCTTTCTAATTGTTAAAAATATAGTCATTTTTTCTGATGTCTATGAAGTGTGTGTGTGAGTGTGTGTGTGTGTGGGTTGTCTTATCAAACTAAAGAGAGAACTAAATTAACTTACCTTGCTGCTAAGGAAAGTCTTGGTCAATTTGGGACACACATTTAGGAAAATAAGCAAAATACTGAGCAACTGCAAAGGGACAACTGGAAACTGAGGTTTCTATTGTTTTTTTTTCTTTATTTTTTTAAAAAGAAACATCCATTTGTTATTCCACTTAATAATGCATTCATTGGCAGCTTCTTCTACGTGCCCTGACCAGGGACTGAACCCGGAACGCTGGCATCTCGGGATGATGCTCTAACTGAAGGAGCTAACTGGACAGGGACTCTCATTCTTAATGGAGGGACAAATGGAGATCAGGAACTCAGCTGAGAAGACCAGAGGCAACGAAGAGATACAAACTGAGAGGAGCAGCGGCTGGCTCAGCAAAACTGTTAAATGACTTTGCAAAAGACCTGTCACAACGGATAAACGGCGCTGCCTGAAGCAGCAGCTTAGAATTCCTTCGGTGGACACACAATTAGTTCCAGGGGTGAGATTGAGAGGAAGGAGGGGAAAAAGAGGAAAGGAAATAAGATTAAAAGACGACACAGTGGATCTAAGGACATTTCTTAAATGAGCAACTGGGAAGGAGAGAACTAGAAAAGAAAAACCAAAACAAAGCATGCATGCACTTCACTTTAAGCTCCAGCCACTGGGCAAGCATCCACTATTTCTGCTCTTTCTCTGGCTCATGAAAAATAGTGAGCTGCTCTGTGGATGTTGACCACATTCTAATTGTTTTTACGGTAAATGAGGCATGAAACCTACTGTCAAAAACAGGATGCCCAGAGAGTACAGCCACACTTTGTCTTCCCAGCCGATCACTCCCAGTGGTTGACACTATCTGTGGGGCTGAAAAGTTCAACGTAGCATGACCTCACACTCCTTTAAGGCAGACTTTTAGGTAAGAGGCCCCCCCCCTTTCTTCTGGACAACAAAAAAAATCTTTCTGAATGATATAGCTGTAACACATAATGGTGGCAACAGACCCAAGGAGGAGGCGGGGGGTGGGAGGGGTGGGCAAAAGTCTCTCTCCCCTTTAAATTAAGCCTATGAAGAGTTATGTTGACAAGCGCTAGTGATGCCCTTTGTATTATTGTAAGAACCCTGATGCTAACACAATCCCCAGCATTGGCTCTGCTGATTATTACATCTCATGATCTGTGCTATTCACAAACTAATCAGAGCGCACTCAAAACAGTCTGCTGCTGGCTTCAGACCAATAGATTTCACTTTATTAATGAATGAATATACAAGGTAGAGCAAAAGCAGGTTTACAGTTGTTCCTATGGAAAATAATACAATAATTAATAAATAATAATACAAGAATAAACCCTGCTTCGCATACTCGCAACCGTAAACCTACTTTTGTCCTGCCCTGTACACTTAGTGGCTAAAATATTTTTTGGGTCGAGACATCTTCAGGGTGATTTTCCTCTCAACCCTGGCACAGGAACTACAATCTGTTTTGGCCAACTGCCTCAATGAATACGAAAATATATGATGATATAAAGGTTTTGGTGAAATAGACAGCTCCACCCAGCTGCTCTCCTCCAAACTCCATGCCTCTCAAATTTAATTCAAATCTATACAAACACACATTTTAATCACATCCTATGTGTAGGCATCCTGCCCCTTAGAGGCTGCACCAGTCTACGAGGACATGGAAGTTGCCAAGCTCCCACGTCTCCTTGGGCTAGTTCCAACAGAAAAGTTAATAGTCAGTTGTGTGGGATGGTGTGAAAGGCAGGTAATGCTATATTCTTATGATAACCCATACAGCAGCCATTGTATTTGCAGCCTGACACCGAATTCTTTAGACTCGAATTAGAAAAGGCACTTCTTTGATAGATTTCTTCTTGTTCCAGTTTACAAGCAACTAATCCTCCCTGCATTGGATCAAACAGACGGGCACAATCAATTCAGGGAAAGCAAGCAATGCCAGGTCCGCTCAATCTTCCCTCAATGAACAGCAGTGGAGAGGCAGTGGCGAGGGAGAGGGGAGAGAAAAGGAAACTTCAGGCATGCCTGCACCCAAGACAGCTTAGCAAAGGCAACGATGAAAAGACAAGCTGAAATATATATCCTGGCAGGTGGAAGCTCTAGCTGTCAGAGGCAGAGGCTGAAACACCGGAAGGATACCAACCACGCCCAAGCCTTGGGGCGCTGCGGGTGTTGACGGGAGCAGAGGAAGGGGGAAGTGGTTGGGATGTCAAAACAAAAGAAATTGGAGGCAGCAACTCTAGGCAGGAAAGAGGTCTACATTTACTTAAGTTTCCACAGTCTGTGATCCATAGCACAGTGTGAGGAGCAAGTTAATTACTGCACTTAGGTAATTAAGTCTCAGAGAAACTAGTGCTTTCCAAAGCAGTGTTAATTTATGCTGCTAGGTCGTTCTAGGCTTGACTGGAGATTTGGTGAGAAGCCTCACTGGAATGGTGGCCTAACAGTGGCAGAAGAAAAAATAATGAAAATGATCTAGAAATAAGATGGCCCTGCTATTCACAGCTCTCTCTCTCTGCCTTTGGACAGCAAGTACAAGATGAGATTTTAGCTTCATTTATCAGTAGACACTTCCTCCCCCAACAACTCAATGACTCCATCCATTCCCTGGCTTAAAATGTGACCAATGTCCTAGCCTTGATTTTTCTGACTTTTCCTGATCCCTTCTTTTCTTGCATGACCTTTCCTATCATCCCTCTGGCCCCTGAATCTGTTTTGGTCAAGTCTAAAATATGTGCGTACAGTAAAAGCATCAAAGGGCTTATCTGGATAACGGTTCTTCCCCTCAGAGATCCATCTCTCCCTGCCACGGCGCAGTCAGCCTCTCCGGGCCAATGTGTTCATCATCTTTATGTGGTTCCTCTCGTGTTCATATCACCCCCACCTCATTTTTTCTGCTAAGTAGTGGCTCCAAAATGATATCTGTACATATATAAACATATCTGGCAAACTGGCAAATATAAGCATGTATGGCATCAAGCTGTATCTTCTTCCCATAAGCAAAATATATTAATAATACATATTTATAAATACAAACAGCTTTATGTTCACATTTATGTGTATACACACATGGCATCCTCCTTGTTTTCAGCAGGACGTAAGGACATCCAGGGTCTGGCTCCAGTAAACGACCTACCTTTATCTGGTGGCTCGCCCAGATTTTTTCTTTGTCAAGGGCCTCTAGGTCCACTTGACTTTTCTTTGAGATAGTCTCCCATGGAAACACAAAAGGACACCTTTCCCCACACCCCGTGAGCATCCTACCTCTGGAGGTGGTGGTCCAGCGCTTCATCCTCAGCGTTCAGGAGGGTGGCCGCGCGGGTCAGGAGCTGACGGCTGCAGCTGACAGACTTGAGCTCCAAGATGAGGAGGCCCAGGCAGAACATGGCTCCCATCTCCTCCAGCTCCCGGGTACCAAACTGGAGGCCCTGCCAGGTAGACCAAGCGTCAGCAGGGACTATGCTGAGTGCAGACAGCGTGAGAATGGGCGGAGGGGCTCCTGGACACATGCCTATCACAGATACTGAGCCTCAATAGTGTCTACCGGTCACAGTGCCAGGCAATTTGTTGGGTGCTTTGTGGACTGGTGGGTCTCGGGCTGCGTTACCTTCACCTGTGGGGTTTCGGAGACGGACCCCAAGGCAAAAGGGTGCATGCGGAGCACAAGTCATCCCTCCACTTTGGTCAAAGCAGCTGTGCTCTACCTGTGTTTTCAAAGAGTTTCATTGCTGAAACCCAATTTGTAAACAATCTTACTGAGAAGTACCCTCTTTTCTTCCATACATTTATCAACTCAACTAATGGAGAAAAATAAGGGAGCATCCTTCATGGGTAAGTACAAATACTAAAAATAAAAAATGAAAAAAATTAAAAAGTTAGAACCACCTTGTAGCTGCACTACAATAATGTATGAACACAAGGCCATAGCATGTACTCTATGCTATGAAGTAACAGTCAATAATAACAATTAAAAAACCACATTGTTGAGCATTTACTATGTGCCAGGTACTATTCTGAGCCCTAGACATGCACTAACGCAGTGAATCCTCACCAAAGCTCTATGAGGCGGGTACTGGCATTTTCTGCAACACACAGAGGACATTCAGACCCACTGAACTTATACTTTATCCACCGCCACACAGTTAGTAATAGACTAGTAAGCAAACTCTCACTTGACTACTCAACAGCAAGTGCTGTGCACAGACCAGGAGGGACTGTATTACGTGGTAAGGTGACAGTGCGTGTCTCCTGAAATGAGACAGAAACTGGGTTTGAATCCTGATTTCACTATTTTCTAAGTGTGTAACCTTGGACTAAATGAACTCTATGAGCTTTGATGTTTTCTCATCTGTTAAGTGGGATGCTAATTCTTTTCTTCAGATACTTAGGCATGTATTATAAGGAATATTTCTAAGTCCTCACAATATTAATATTAGCTCAATTTTTCCTCTTCTTTTTAGTAAAGATGTTTAGTATGACAGAATTCAATGTGGTCCTGAGGTCTTCATGTTTATAAAGTACATTTCATTTAAATGAGCAAGAATTAATAGTTGAACAATATTTTTTAAATAGATTTTCACATCCAAAGTAATAGCAATATAAAGAAGAGAAATAGGACAGTAACAATTTTAAAGACTGGTCATCAAGGTCTCAAGGGAAAAAACGAAGATCCAAACTGGAAAATCATAAGCCTCACAAAAGAATTTCTAGGCAAAAGGATCAAGGAAAATGAGAAGTTCTCAAGTTCACTTCAGCGGTCTGAAAATGACTTGCTTGCATGTTTACACACCTGCTTTCCTAAGGAAAGGCGACACTACTCCGGAGTTAAGGAAGTCTGTTCCTCTGTAAACAGCAGGAGTGGGAGGGGGAAAACAGATGTTTAACAAGTTATCTTTCTTAAGTCAGTAGGAAAAAAATCACTTTTTAAAGACAGAGAAAACTCTCGGTGTCTCTTTCCAAGCACTGAAGTGCTGTGGTCCGATTCTTTTCCTCCGCCCTGCATTCCTGGCTGCTTTTCCGCGTTCTGGAGTGGCCAACTGGCTGAGAGAAATGAGGTGCAACTCACATCCTCCTGCTCAGCCACTTCCAGTGGTGGCCACAAGGGAGAGAAGACAAGGGAAATGTGGGTAAGGTTCTGCTCACACCATTAAATGCCAGAGACAATGAAGCAAGGTGCACAGAATCGAGGAGAAAATACTGTGCCTCAAAGATGCGATTTACGTGTCAGGGTCTCGGGAGGATACGCCCAGAGGACGAGAGGCACTAAACACACACCCCAGGTAGGTAAAGTTTCACAATTTCTTTTTAAAATGTCAGTGTAACCCTGTTACTTACAATAGCCAAGGCACAGAAACATCCTGGCGTCCATCAGTGGAGGAATGGAAAAAAGAAAATGCAGCATATGTGCAATGAAATATTATTTAGTCATAAAAAAGGAAACCCTGCCATTTGCAACAGCGTAAGCACATCATGTTAAGTCACACAGAAACAATGTGTGATCTCACTTACATGTGGAATCTAAAAAAAAACCAAAAAAAGATACAAATTTATACACACAGAGAACAGATTGATGGTTACTAGATAAGTCAAAAGGTCCAAACCTCCAGTTACCAAATAAATAAGTCTTGGGGAGTCTAATGTGCAGCATGGAGACCACAGTTTATAATACTGCGCAACGTGTGTGAAATTTGTGAAGGGAGGAAACCTTAAAAGCTCTCATCACAAGAAAAAGAATTTGTGGCTGTGCAGTGATGGGTGTTAGCTAGACTTACTGGGGTGATCATTTCGCAACCTATACCTATATTGAATCATCATATTGTACACTTGAAGCTAAGGTAATGTTATATGTCAATTATAATTCAATAAAATAACAGAGGGAAAATATTAGCATAATCCTAATACAAAAAACTAATCATTACAGCCCCTAAGGCAGCAAGCCAGCCTCTTTCATATATATATATATATATATACACACACATATATATGTGTATATATATATATATATATATCTCCCAGTTTTTTTGAAGTTATTTATGTTAATAGGAATATATCAAAACAATCAGACAACATGATCTAGGAAGTATTTTTCTAAGAACAGCATGGGAAGGATATCATTAGGAAATCTACTAACATAGTATTTAATACTTAGAGAGCCCAAGACGCACTGGAGGGAAAAACCAGGAACTTCTGGATAATGCGTCCTTGTCTGAGGCAAGTCGCAGTACACAAGGCCTGCAGGGCTCTTCCTACACCTGGGAGCAGCATCGCGTGGTGGGTGTGAACACAGGCCCGGAGACCACACTGCTGAGGCCTCAACCCCATACCTGCCACTTACTCCTGTCTTGTCCTGGGGGAAGTTGTTTGAACTATCTATCAGTGCCTTAATTTTTCCATCTGTATAATGTGAACAATAATAAAAAAAATAGTAATATCCCCTATATCTCATGTTGCTGCTGAGATCATTCAGTTAGTATATATACATATACATATACTTAGATTCGTACTTGGCAATTGCAAATTATCCAAGTTTTTATTGTCACATGATCCAAGTACTGTATTTATTATCACCAATAACAGCAAATAAGTGCTTATATAAAACCAATAGGCAAAATCATATTTGATGTACAAAGTCTTTCTTAAAAGTATGGCCTGCTCTCACTACTATCATTTATCATTACTTGACAAGTTTCAAACAATTCAATAAGATAAGAAAATAATGAGTTATAAATATTAGGAAAAAATCACATTATCATTATTTGAAAACTGATTATGTACTAAAACCAAAGGAATGAAGTAAAACAGAAAATCTATTAGATATAAGGCAAGAACTGAGTAAGAAGACATGTTACAAATTAAATATCCAAAAATCAATTCTCTATTAACCAGCAAAATAAATTATTAAGTGTAATAAAAATCCCATTCACAATAGCAACACAACTATAAAATACCGGGGAATGGAATTAACAGTAAATACGCCCAGGGTTATATGATGAACCCCGGGAGATTACCAAGAGATAACTAGGAAAATTTAAATAAATGAAGAAGTAGGCTGAATTCGGAGACAGAAAGGCCCAACAACATTCAATAACAGTTCTCCTCATGTTAGTTTATAAAAGTATAGGAAATCAAAACACCAATGGGAATTTTCAGTCTTCACAAACTAATTCCACTTCAGAAGATTACATGGCAAAAATATCTAGTAATACAGTCAGAATAGAGAGTAAAAAATAATAATGGGATTTTCTCTTACAGACAGGCAGAAGGTCTTATATCCTTACAGTGATTAAATGCTATGGTATTGATGCAAAACATGGCAGACAGATCAAAGGAAGAATCCAGAAAGTGCCAAAGACCACAGAATACATAAAGGTTTGCATCAGATACAGGAGCCTTTCAAGTCACCAGGAAATGAATTGTGATGGAGATAAAACAAAAAAAAAGTGATTAATGTTTCAAGGAGGAATGTATCCACAAATAAAAATTATTCCATTTTGGTTAAAAGATTAGATGTTTTTTAAGAATGAATGATTAGAGAATAAAATATAGATTCATATGTTTTATCATCTCCAAAAAGGTCAATGAATGCACATCCTCCAATAAGAAACAATAAGGGAAAACATTAGTGACTGTATAAATAAAATTTAAATATATCCAAATAGCCTGACATACCACAAACTAAACTAAAAAGGGAAACAAATTGAATTACAATAAAAGGAAAAATACCGTAACTTCATTTCATATAAAATGCAAATTAATGTAACAGTAAAATAGCATGAACTGTTTCTCAATTCACTTTTCCCTCACTCCCCAAATCATAATGGTCTATTGGCAAAGGGCTAAAAATAGGCATATCCTAGTCTGTTATTGGTGGAAGTGCATTTTTACTGAAGTATTTCCAAAAGACAACTGGATGATATAGTTCAAAAGCCTTAAAAATGTTTAAGCACTTGGAATTAATTCAAATTCCAGAAATTAATCTTAAGATAAATGATCATAAGATGAACAACAGAGAAAATCCCAAATGTACACAAGTATATTACTAACCAAATAAACTCGATTGTATTCACATTATAGGTTATTAATATAATGATCTGTTTTGAATAGGCAGCACCAAGGGGACAGATTCGTGACATGATATCAAAGTGCAATAAGCTGACTACAGTGCAGCTTGTCCACTAAAATCCCAATAAAAATTTTTTAATGAATTACTCGCACTAAATGTTAACTGATTATGCACAGTGGGGGCACATCCTTTACATTTTGTTTTCCAGTAATGAAAAAGAAGTAATTGTTTTTTGCCACTCATATTTACGTAAACAGTAAATATTAGCCTGGAAAGAATAGCATATCTGAATATGCTATTTTACCTAATATGTGATTTTAAATTTATACATAAAATTAAACTTAAAATTCACTTGTATAAATTGCT